AAGAAGACATCAGATGGAGCTATATAGACCATCCTTAAAAACCTACGCAGGCGTAATTACCTTTCCTATAATCTCAGGTCGAAGCTCCCTGTTGTTAGAAGCGAGTTTGTAAATGCTCCTGTGCAGGCGCCGCTGTCATTGCTACGTAAGTGGAATCCAATGAAGAGTCCCAAATCACATCAACAAATGCAGCCAAGGACCGAGCAACTTACACTGCGAGGGCATTCACATTACGTTCACACTCAACGCCTGGGTGCCAGAGAGTTTGGGACAAATCCCGCGGCATGTCAAGATGAACATTGAGGCTGCTCGTGCCTTTTGACCCAATGGGCCTCAACGCAATGCGTCCGATCTTGTCAGATCGCGGAGACTTAAAGCAGAGCCAAATCTGAATAGTGCTCGGATTGGGTGACCGCCGTGCATAAAACAAAGAGCCATAGGTTACTGCTGCAGTGCTACATCGATGGCCCAAGTGCAGTTAAACAACCTCACCACCGCCCCCCGATGATTTGCGCGGCGTGAGGGAGGCCTTCATCCAGCGGCGGATTGACAAAAATGGTCTGCACAATGAATACGTGGACCGAAGTTGCTGCCCCAGAGAGACCCGCAAGTGAGTGGTTAAGCGTAAGGAAAGAGAAATGAAAATGGACCGGAGAGAGGGAGGGAGATAGCGAGATGGAAGAGTTGTGCAACATCAAAAGGAGCAGTTCTAAAAGGGGGTGATCAAGAAAGTCTGACAGAGCCCTGTGGATGCGAGAAGTACCCCCCACCCCACCACACACACACACAGGTACCCTCGAGGCTGTAAAGCAAAGGGGGGGGGGGGGGGAAGAGGGTGCCTCAGTGGCATGCACTTCTCAGCGAACGGCCGCCAGCTGTTCACGTAGATAACGGGACGAGGGCGGTGTGAGATGGCGATTAATCTTTCTGTAATGCACGGGGACATGCAGGTCGAGGGGGGGGGCAGGGTAATGGCAGAGGTTTGTCGGGCGACTTAAGGAAGCCGGCGGGGGGGGGGGGTGGCGGGAGGCTTAGAGGTCGTGGGCTTTGGCGTTAAACAACGAGTGCTCTTGTTTGGAGACCCCCCCCCACCGCAAGGCATTCTGGGTTTAAAATGTACACGATGGAAGCACAATGGCGATGGCTGCAGAGTTCGGCAAATTCCAATAAAATACAAAAGTCGATGTTTTCGCCGATAAGCTTTTAAGCCAGTTTTCTCCCACAATTCCCCGAATATACACGTGGGTGACATTTAATTAAGATAAGGAAAAGTTTTTTGTGCTTATTTTTTTTTTCATTCCGCTGCAGTTGCAATGTAACGGCGGGGTGCTGTCGACCCCGCATGCTGCCGAACGATGAGCAATTGTAATATTAGCGCTGGGAATAAAGTCCATGGAATGGAAGGAAAGAGATTAGAAAGGACATTTGTTTTTTAATGGAACGTGATTAAGTTAGATGGGGAGCGAGCGATTAGGTGTAGGATTTGGGGGACGAAGATACAAGTGAGCAGCTTGAATGGATGAATTAACTTGCGTTTGCGCTTCGTTCCGTCGCGAAGTGAAACGTCGCGCAGATCTCCGTATTGGCAGCTCGGGTTGAAATTAAAGGTCAGGATTAGACATTCAAATTCAGGGTTGGGTTTGGGGGGGGGGGGCGGGCGGTCTGACATTCGACGTTACAGTTATCGTTTTTGTGTTCGAATTTAAAACTTGAGACGTGCTCGAGATTAATTTAAATCTTGTGGTGCCACAGGAATTGAGAGCTCCCAAAAACGTCTGTCTGCGCACACATCTGTGCCTCCCTCTCTTTGACACTATGTTATAGTGTCTGTGTCTGCGTTTCTCCATGAATCTTCACTCTGTCTCTCCCCATGTCTCTCTCGCCATCTTATCGTCGGTCTCGCTATGTCCCTCTGTATATACATTATATTTAGATCTGCATCGATTTATTCGTTGTTCAGTCTGTGTGCATAACTCTTTGTCCATCTCTCTAAGCATTGATCTGTGTTCGTCTCTCCAACACTCTCCTCATATTCATATATCGTATGCCTCTATATGTCTGTCTTCTCTACATTTCAGCATTGCTGACCCATTTTCTCTCTCCATCTATCTCTCTTTTCACATCTCTCTATCTTCACAACTTGAATGTCTCTCTGTCTGTCTGTATTATCTGCGTTCTCCATAGCTATCTCTTTCTGGGTCTGTCTCTCACCGTTTCTCTCTCTTCCCATCTTTCTTTCGTGCTCTCTCTCTCTCTACGTATCTCCGTGTACCTCTTCACCCCTGAACAGTTTTCCCACTTAGCGTCGAGACCGTTCTGGACGCGTGGTTGTATATTTTTCTTTGCCTGCTTATTTATTACACTGCTTACGCGTATATATACCACAGGGTACGCGTCATGGGGGAAATGTCAAGGAAATTGTACGCCGCATGGTGCAAGAGGCTGTAATCGAGACGTAAAACTATAAACTATTTTTTATTTTACCAGGTAAGGCCCACTGAGCTATATAGCTCTTTTTTTTAGAAGCGACCTGGCCACAAATGATAGACCAATGACGTTGCTTATCATGTGGCAAGATGTTAATATCCTCGCCTGATATACAGGAGGTCGTGGGCTCGATACCAACCTGTATATGTAGAGTTTGTATGGCCATGTGGATTTTCCTCCGGATCTTCTGGGTTTTCCATACACATTTAGAAACATGCGTTTAGAGTATCTAGTTGCTAAAAATTTACACATGATAAGCCACTTTGCTGAGCAATCATTTGTGGCAAGGTGACTTCTGAATAAGAGCTAAATAGCTCAGTGGGCCTTACCTGGTAAAATAACAAATGTTTTAGTCAAGTACTCTAAGCGCATGTTCATTCTAAATGTGGAGGGAAAACCGGACGACCCGGAGAAAAATCCACGTGACCACGGGGAGAACACGCAAACTTCAAATATACAGGCATCAAGGTCGGAATCGAATCCCCACGACCTCCTGAATACCGAGCGAGGTAGTTAACATCCGTAGCACCCCCTGGCTCAAGTTACTCACTTCATCTTATCGGCTGCGGGCGCGGATACAACTGTATGCTTGAGTTGCAAAGGCAGTGTGCGTGCGTGCGTGCATGTGTGTTAGGTATGCGGTTGTGGGAAGCGGTAGTGTAGTGGTCGATTTTCACTCACGACCAATAACAGTGGCGAATATTTGAACCAGTCCTGGGCCTCCCTTAGGTTGACCCATTCTTAAATCAGTTCTTGGATCAGTGTGCAACCATCAGCACTGGGGAGACAAAGGCGACCAAGCGTGGCGGTGGCCACTCACTCCCTTCACGTGCCGTGTCGGCCTTCGTAGGAACTCGCTCACAGCACTTGCCCCAAAAAGTCTGCTCAAGGCTATACGGGGGATCTTTGTCTTTGCCATGTTGTGCAGGTGTGTGCTGATGTGGCTCGTTTGTGTGCATGCTATGGGAGCATTTAAGGTGGAATTTGCATGATGAATGTGAATCCACTCACAGGCTGGTGTCCCCCCCCCCAAGCAAGTATATGGCCTTGATGCCACCCAACTAAACAAAAAACTCGACGGTTAAACTACATGACTGTTGAGGGACTGTCATTTGTGTGTCTGAGTCGGTGAGTTACACAACTTAATTTGATACTCTTTGGTTTTTTCGGTAAAGTCACGTAGGTAAAAAAATCAATAAAATAAAACGACTCAATTAAATCACGACGTTTCGGAGGCAACACAAGCCTCCGTCTTCAGGTGGAAACCGTCGCAGCAAAATTGCTGTGACGGTTTCAACTAAATTAAATCACGTCGTGATTTAATGTAGTTGTTTTCATTCGTTTTCATTTATTTTACTTTATTGATTTTTTTACCTATGTGACTTTACTGGAAAAACCAAAGAGTATGAATCCTTGCAGTCACGAAAGCTTCAAATCTAGAACTTAATTTGAGTATTTTTTTTATCGTATAGCGTCAAGTGTGGGCTCATTTTGACTGGAAGGAACCAGCGGCTTAAGGTATCGATTATGAGTTTGATCTTTGTTCGGTAACATATAATATTAGGGTTTTTTAGAAATGTGTAAACTCTCTTCCCATTCCTTTGGGGCTTTTCTGAGAGGAGGGAAATCGGAGTAACATATGGGGGACAAATGGAGCTCTCGAGGCGTATTTATTTTAATCGCGAAACAAGACACGGAACAATGCGTCAGTTAATCAATTCGGGTTCGTTCCTGGCCTGACAATGCATTGCACTGCATAGTGGGGAGTGAAATTCGATTCGATTTTATGCATCTTACATGTCGAATGCAATGGGCACGTACGGTCCTGCAGTCACACACTTGCAACGTGAACAGAAAGTAAGAAAAAATAAAATGACAACCCCCAAACCGTGATGAGTTAACTAAATCAGGAGGGCGAGTCACGACATTTGCCGCCGTACAGCTTGACACGCACGTTAGCCGGCGCGCTTGACGCCCAACGCACCGGAGCCTGTGACCATTACCACGTGATCAGGACGTCCTCGTGGCCAACGCCGTCGATTCCACCTCCACCCCTCTTTGCCAACGCTTTCTAGCCTCCCTCCTCCACCTCCTGAAACTGCTGCGCAGTAGGCACGCGGCCTCAAAGACCTGCCGTAACAATGTCTCCGGCACATGCCCCTTCGATGTGCGAAAACATCGCTGGATCTTTAACGCCCGATGCCTTGCAGCGGACGGCGCGTGTACGGTATTTACGGTTGCGCCGTACGTTGAAATTCTATCGCACCGCACGTGGCCGACCGTGCTAATTGGGGGGGGGGGGACAACAGACTAAAAACTACACACACCCACAGCATCATTAACCAGGCTCGTTGCCGGGCTGCAACCGCGAAGCGTCGCGACGACGACGAGCAGTAAAACGCCGAGGTGTGGTGTTGCGGCTATGCAGGGCCACATGGCGGCTATGCTGGCGGGGGGGGGGGGAGTCGGGTAGAAGAGGTACGGGGAGTGAGGAGGCGGGCGGGTACCCTCACCGGTCGATCCGACTTGCAGCACGCTGAGCTGGGCGCTGGCGGTGACCACACCGCCGCCGTTGGAGGCCATGCACTCGAAGGTGCCCTCGTCGCGCTGCGGCCGAAGCGGCTGGATGCGCAGCACGGAGCCCAGGCCGCCGTCAAACTCGATCACCTGCACAACAGAGACAAAGACGCCGCCACCCCCCCACCCCACCCCGTACAGCCTTAAGAGACTGTTTGGGACAAGCGCTGTTAGCGAGGAGCACCTACGAAGTACGGCACGGCACACGAAAAGGGTTGGTGGCCGGCGCCACGCCCCGACCGCCTTTGTCTCCACCAGTGGCGATGTTTACACACCGCACCAGGTACTTATTTGAAGCTGAGTCGACCTAGCGGAGGCCCGGGACCAGTTCAGATAATCGTCACTGGTGTTGGCCGTGAGCGGGAATCGAACTCGGGACGCTGGGTTTGTAGCACAGCGTAGCGCTAACCGCTACACTACCACTGTCACCTGCACGCACACGTGCACCCACACAGGCAGACGTCACCACCGACGTGATACGCATGCATATATGTATGTAGAACTTCTTTTGCGCCGTACGTAGCCAACCGTGCTAATCGGAGGTACGGGGGAAGGACAACAAACTAAAACACAAAAAGGAGTTCTCAAGAAATGAGTTTTCTTGAGAACTGCTTCTTTAGAACTGCTGATACGGGACGGGAGGCTTTACATGCATGCACGCACTCGTTCGCCTACTGTAGGTGCTGTACCACCGGCATACGCGCACACAACACACCTGACAGATATCCCCCTGTAGCCCTAATAAACTGTTGGGGCAAGTTCTGTTAATGGGCATCAATTCAAATCAGCGCAATGCGCGAGGGAGTGGCGGTGCAGCCAACGCAACAGACACACCACGCCTCTTGTCTCCCAAGCGCCGACGTTTACACGCTGCACTGGGCACTTAATTGAGGCTCAGTCGGCCTTCCGAGAGACCCAGGACCAGACATTTGGTTAATCGCCACTGGTGTTAGCCGTGGGACCGGCAATCGAACCCAGTTCGCCGAGATTGTAGCACAGCTCTCTGACCGTGGCGCCACCGCTCCCCTAGCACGCATTCACACGCAAATGCAGACCCACGTGGAAATCACATTCACGCATGCGCGCACAAATACACAGCAACGCGCACACATGAACGAGCAGCATAAACATGTACAATCACAGACGATATGTATACGGACACGTAAACAAACACGCAGCCGGATATTAATAATGCGCACAGGTTCATTAGTAAATTCACATGGGAGGTTATTATAAACTAGCCTAGACACACAGCAAACCACTAAAGGCACAGCCACATTTGCATGCTTTGCCGTACACATGTGTAAGGGGTAGAGAGATGAACAGGCATCCCAAACATTACCTCGTCAACGCCCATCATCTGCACTGAGAAACAATGATGGACACACACAGATAACAACCGCGTGGGGATAAAGAGACGTGGATACACCACCAACAACACAAATCCTCGGAAGAATGGCTTGCAAGAGCGTACATGTGTACACATACGCGCTAACACGCGCGCAGACTTACAGGCATGTGTGTCAAGGCTCGCATGGGCGGACACATCAAATTACAGACTTGGATAGGCACACATAACAAGTAGCGCACGTGCACAACACTTTAGCATTCATTCAGCAGTCCCACATGCACACAACACACACGTACACACCACGCATGCACAACCGCACGAATATACACACGTACACACATACACACTTGCACAAGCACACAAATGTATACACACACACACAAGCGTGCTGATTTAACAAGCCACACAGCAGGTCACAGAAGAACAAGCCACACAGGCACTGTGAACAGTCAATGCCATGGTATGACATAAATACATCTCCAGCAAAAAGGTAAAAAAAATTGTAGACTGTCGCTTTTATGGGGATTTATTAACCAAACAACAGCTGCGAAGTTGAATGTCCCACTTTCAGCTATATCCGTGGTCGTGTTTGCTTTTTTTCTCCAGGTCCTCCGGTTTTTGCCTCCACATTTAGAAACACGCATTGAGATTGTTGAGATTATTTTGGTGCTATAAATGTCCAAATAATGGGGCCACTTTGTTGAGCTATCATTTGTGGCCAGGTCGCTTCTGAAAAATAGGTTAACACCTTAGTGGGCTTTGCCTAGATGGATGGGGATGGTTTAATTGTATTTGTATGCGTTTGGGTGGTTTGTTCAGCTTTATTGTACTTGCATTACTATCATGCTGTTGTACTGTTTGTTGTAACGTTCTTACCTGCCCCGACTGGACATCTGTGAGAAAGAGCTTTATAGCTCATCGGATTCCTCTAGTCTAAAGACATTGATTCTGATTCTGACAATCCAGTAATCACTGTTACATTGCATTTATGGCTTTATTTTGGTGATTTCGAAAACTTTTTTTGGTTTGGCCATGTTTTTGTTTATTGTAGTATGGAGTTAGACTGATGGCCTTAATCTTAGTTGTCTTGTGGTTGTTGTTGTTGTTGTTTGACTTGCATCCCACTGGGATTTTTACACACAGCGTCGGTGTACGGTGCTATTTCAGGAATATTTTGATGTTTTTCCTTGATTTTTTGTTTGCACAGTCACATAGTCACTTTAAGATGTTTTCTTGTTCATGTTTTGTTTTTTTTCCGATTGCACCCGATTCAAGAGCCGAATGGCTCAAAGGGCTATACCAAATAAATGTAACTATAAATGGAACGATAAGTAACAGTTGCTAACTGGGGAACAAAACCGTGAGCATCACCGCAACTTTGGCACGAAAGGAACACTTCTCTTGCAGGGCAACTGCAGTCAGGAATCCTTACACTAACAGAGCCGAATGCTACCTGATTAAAACCTGGGCACCATTTTCAGAGTTTTTATTTCATTCTTCCTTGCGGTCCACCATTCCACGTTGTAACCGGCGAGCGCGCTGAATGCCAAGAAAATTGAACATTTTATCTCCGGCTCTTCTGACACGAAAATGAACAAAAAATATGGGTTCTTTTGTGTGAACTTTCTCATTACTTCAAAGCAGGCACAAAACATTCCACCATTTTTACAAAGGTGTTTTCCCGGTCCCTTTGATTAAGTCTCACAAAACTTCCATTGCAGTCATAGTTTGGTTATGATCGTAGATGCACAGAGGGGTGACTTTGACCACGAAGCGAAGGTCACGCCGGGCAGAGCCTCTCGCGCAAATTTAAACGGCGCCTTCCGATGAGCACGGTTGGCTACGTACGGTGCGAAAGAAGTTTCAACAAACATGCACGCATGCAACTCCACCGTTGAACGCGCATACAACTCCACCGCGCGGCAAGTGGAAAACCGAGTGAGACGAATGATTGCGCGATCCTCGCTACCATCGCAGGCAGCAGCAGCAGCGCGGTGACTTGCCAAGAACGCACACAACCAGGCAAACTCTGGATAGGCGTACGCCACAACAAACTCGAGCAGCTTGCTCCGCAAAGACACAACGTGAAAGGGAAACCAGGCGACACAACACACGGATATGTTTTTTCGAAAGCAACGTCACTGAATGGTGTTTCTCTTCAACCGAAGGAAACCCACAGGGTAGGTTGCGAGCGGCACGTTCGCAAGTCCCGCGAACGTTTCTTGCCCCCTCCGCTGCGGGACTTTCGCCACCTGCCAACGACGGCAGCCAAACGTCGTCCCATCCTCCCGTGGTTTCTGCTTAGCCGCGATTGCTCGTGGTCCCCGATCGGAAATGTTTTCACCCACCGGCGGGCATCTGCCAGGTTCACGCCATCGGCGTGGCACACGCTGACGGGCCCAGAGTAGGCTGGCACCCTAGAACCCCCTTCAGTCGGCACCTGATTTCCGGCTCATTGCTTGAGCTTCACCTCGCCTTGGGCCCACTTGACTATTTTCGTGACGACGTCACGATTTTGGCGCCGAATACAAACAACTGCGTTGGGAGCGTGGAGGCTCTCCGCGCCGTTTGCGCGCGCGTAAGATCTGGCGGCTCGTGAGAGGGGACAAAAAAGTGAACGTATTGAGTGACGGAACTTTAGAATAACGCCCGACGTGTAAAAAAAGCCGCAACAACAAGAGGCCACGCAAGCTCACTCATGCACACAGCGCCTGCGAAGCGTGCATGCAGACATGCAGGCACGCACGCACGCACGCCAACACCCTCTCCTCTGCCCCGCAGGCTTGAACACCAAACGCTGGCTTTGCCACCCAAGACAAATCGGTCGCAGCCAATATTAGCAGTGCCTTAACAAGGGTAAGGGCCGGCAGACGACTGCCTCGGGCAGCCCTCCCGTGGGGGGGGCGGGGGGGGGCGCATCGTCCAACTTGGAAACGAAGCAATTAATGGCAGCTGGTGCCTCAACATTGTGCTGGGGCGTTGCAAGGATGGCGTCTTGGCCCAAGGTGCCAAAATGTTTAGTTTCGACTCTGAATGTTGAGGAGGGCAGAGGGGAGAGCGCTGCGCCGTTTTGCTCATTACACACAAAGAGTCAGTGAGTACATCTCAAGCTATTTTAATCATCCACAGGTGTATCCGAGGCGAGGGCCGTAGTGGGTGGGCGGTGAGGGAGGGAGGCGACCACCTCGTGTGTGGAGCAGACGAGAGGAAGCGCCATTTCCTCTCCCTCTCTCTCTCTCTCCGGCGTGATTTACGACACCAGCCCACCAACGTCCCTCCCAGGGAGCAAAACTCCCCCTCATCTTTTTTACACTCCTCCTTAAGAATTATTCATCGCGTACGATTTTTCGTTTTTGTTTTTATTTCTATCCCAGAATACACCCATGCGGAGCGACCTAGGTGTGTGAGAGTGCGTAATCGAGAGTGAAACCTACTCCCTGTACCTCGAAGCGCTGGGCGCTCACTCTCTTGCCCTTCTTCAACCACGAGATCTGCGGCCGTGGGTTGCCCTGGGCCTTGCACACGAAGGAGGCCACGCCACCGGACACACCCGTCTGGTCCGCAGGGGTCCGCGTGAACCATGGGGGAGCTGCTTGGTCATGCGAGGGAGGGGGCAGAGGGGGGGGGTCAGAGAGAAAGATGCTCGCCGAGCTGCATTGGCTTGGGGTTGCTGAACAAATACGTTATAAGGTCGCGCTCGTTACATACACAAAGTGCTTGCCACAAATGAGCCACAATATCTTGCTGATCTCATCAAAAGCAGCATAAACCATCACGCGAACTATAGTCTCGCAGCAGTGGCGTTTGGCTGGTCATCGAACAAAGGCGGGCACCGCATCGCGCGCTTTCAGATCCTATTTTTGCTGCCATCTGGAATGCTCTTCCAATATTAAGAAATGTTACATCTTAATTAAAAAACAAATTCTTTAGAACTGCTATTTGTGTTTCGTTTGTTGTCCTTCCCCCCCGCACCTCCAATTATGACGTTTGGCTCAAGCACACTTTGCACGTGACGCCTGTGTTGCTCTGATATGAGTGGTATGTGTTAAGCCAGAACCGCGTTACTTGCAACAGACACTTGGAAGTCTCATTGGGTCTTCGGCTGGCAAAATACAGTCTATCAACTGATCCCAAGCAGTTACATATCAATAGTAGTAGATTCTGTAGGAATATATATTATCAAGGTTGCTGGGCACAGGCCTAAAAAGGCCCAAACACGCCAAGTGGCCAGCAACAAATAGCACTCTTAAGAGTGGCAATAGGTTAACACGATTCTGGAATTGAGCAAGATTATATAAGTACTTGAGCAAAGAGACAACGGGAAGAAATTCGAAACTTGAGCAGTGCACGGGAAGAAGCAGAGAGCCACAAATCATGGTGTTCTTTGAGCAAGTCATGTTAGCATGCAACTATGAAGGCCAGAATGGCGTAGGAGCGTATTGTGTATCCAGCACCAAGCCTGGCTTCCTTTCCTCCCCAGTGCCATTTACAAATCGCACCAGGTAGCCTGCTCATCTAATGCCAAGTTGACCTAGGAGAAATGGCCCATCACCAATTCACATATCCATCACTGACGTGGCTGAGATCAAGGAATCGATCTCAGGTCGCCGGGTTCGGAGTGCAATCTGCTAACGACTACTTGACGCGCCCATGCACACACACAGACCACATCGCTTACGAGCGTACAACCAAGCACGCGGACAGAAACGCGCACGCGTGCGCCCGCACGGCACACACAAGTTACACGATCCGCGAGGACATCGGTCTCACGACGGTATCAAATGGGCACTCCACGGCGGCACTGCATTGTGTGTACCGCGGCTGCCACAGCAGCCTCAATGAAGTCACATTGTGCGGCACCTTTTTGTCGGGCTTGAAGCGAGCGAACACGCACGCATTGCTCACAGCCCAAAATCAAGGGCATACGCGCCGCACTGTAATAAAGCAATTCTTATGGAAGCGACCGCCACGCAGGCGTGCGAGTGCACCGGCTGACAGCATGATTGAAGCGTGCGCCGGCGGTGCGGCGTGTAACGGACTCTGGGCTCGTGTACAGTAACGCGCTCTTGTGCCAGAACATTCGTCTTGTTCTGGTACATTAACTACACGTGAAGCGCTTTCCCCCCCTCCCCCCCGTCGCACCCGTTAACCACCGGCGATTGGCTTAGCACAAACACCCGGCCGCAACGGCGATTTGTAAATCAGCGCGCGAGGTTCTGGCGGCGCGAAGCACCGCTTTGTGCACACGCCCGTCTGTGACGGCACGACGCGAGAATTTGCGCCCGGTTATTTATTTACTAAAATTTCTTGACGCCACGCCATTTGCGCGTATGTTTAAGACGTCGGGTTTTCAAATAGTTCGCCCGGCGCTTACGCGACTGAAGGCACGAGCTTGAGCAACAAACGGATCAACAAAAGAGCAGGAGACGCTTGGTCCATTCGTCTAGCGCAAGGGGCAAGGCCGCCTCTCGGAAAGTAAGTGCACACAGCCCTGAATTAACATTTTCATCGTGGGAACAATTTACTCTGGGACTGGATGAAAAATGATCGTGGGTGCAGGAGGCATCAGGCCCTCACGAGAGCATCTCACCAGGGCTCTTCTCCTTTTAACCCTTTCCCCATTGCGAGATGACTGGCAAGTTGTGGGGCGTGGGCCCCCCCCCCGTTCACCGCTGAATCTCGGAATGCGTGAGCGGTTCAGCGTCAATTTTATTTAGAGGCATAGCACCGCTGTTTTTAAAGACATTGCACTCACCGGAGAGACGTGTAGCGACACGACCGCACTCTACGATAGCGAGCGCCGAACTATGCCACACTCCCTCCCGCGTGACTTTGCAGGAGTCTCGGTACGTCTTCAGGTGGGAAGACGTACCGATAAACATATTTACTTGAGCTTTTCCTTCCAATTATGTGCCAGGTTGACCACACATCTCGGCCACGCTTGAAAAAATATAAAAATAATGGTAATGATATTACCCCCTTTACCCACTAAAGTCACCCTGTACCTTGTTTCCAATCTCTCCCTGAATTCTAGTCGATGGCAACTTGGGTTGATTCAAAGACAAGTGAGGCCCGCCTTTCTCAGAAAGGTATATTCACGCTCAGCCTGATTACTGACATGCAATTCAGGCCAAGCTCAAGACGCGACATTTTCTGGGAAAGATTCAGGCTCGTGCCTGAATATTGGCAAACAACTTAAGTAATCTAAAAACATTGAAACAGGTGTGGGGGGTGCAACTCGAGTACCTATTCGAGTTCTCTTTAACAGGAGGGTCCTGAATTGGGATGTTTGGTCAATTCAAATTATACCACTTGTGGCATGTGGTAGAAAAATGGAGCACCTTGAGAAAACTCAAGCATCCACAGATTCCAAAATCCTTGCTATATCCCCTCATTACTTGGCCACATAAGAGCCCAAATCTACAAAACCTGGTATGACCAGCCAGTCTCCCATCTAAGATTGAATGAGGCTCAACAACCCTGTTTGGCTTCTGCAATGTGATGGGATACGATGCATTTATAGTGATTTGGTCATAATGTGGCACTTGTGCCAGTTATGCACCACTTTATTGGCGATTCTCCCCAGCATTCCCACTCCAGCTGGAAGTCCTTCTGCTCAATTCCCGTCACTTTATATGACGCGAGAGCTGCCCAAAAAATGCATTGCTTAGAGTTCAAATTCTCATCTCTGTACACCACTGTTTCTAGGCCTCTAGCCCCACCACTGGCAGAATTAATTTGTGAACTACTGGACTTGCAGGTTAACGAGGCTTACCAAAACTGCTTCATTATCTCTCTCCACTTTTGACTCATTAGCACCGGCACTGTACGGGGTGATACAAGAACGTTGCCCATTTGTGACCATGGCGTGATTCGCACGGAGAGGCCAGAGAAGCAATTAAAATGGAAATAACACACGTGCATACAAAGACAAAGATCCCCCCGTATAGCCTTAACAGACTGTAGGAGCAAGTGCTGTCAACGAGCACCTATGAAGGCCGACACAGCCCACGAGGAGATGGGTGGCCAGCACCATGCCCGGACACCTTTGTCTCCCAAGTGGCGATGTCTACGCACCACACCAGCTACTCATTCGAGGCTGAGTCGACCTAGGGGTGGCCCAGGACCGGTTCAGATAATCATCACTGGTATTGGCCGCGAGCGGAAATCGAACTCGGGTTCGCTGGATTCGTAGCGCAGCGCACCTAGTTGTTACGCCACTGCTCCCCACACAAACAGAGACGCACACACGGAGCCAGGCACATGGAAAGTGGCCTGCTGGTGTGTTGTTACCTCGGCACTGGCGGCAAGTTTTTATGAAATGTACGAGCTGCGTTATGTCATGCAAAAGGGCCGACATACGTTCACAGTGCTCGGCGAGCCCAGCTGAGGGCAGTGTCACAGATTAGGAAGTATTGACCTTTAAGCTAGATTCGTGAAAAAAAACACAACGCTCGCAGATTATGCAGTACTGACGTAGATAAGGTAGGATAGCCAGACCAATAAATAAGAAATAAAATGCAAAGCCACATTAGCAATTACTGCCATCATCGCTTTATTGTGCCTTGCCTCCGCCACGTAACAGCTCTCCAGAAACCATTTCATTTTGAAGGACCTCGTGAAAAATAAAGGTATGGTACTAGCCGATGGCTCACGGCAAGAAAAAAAAGTCGCCCATTCAGCTGCAGCTCCGACTGCAATCCGCCCGCCCTCCGCGTCCCTGATTTCCAGTCTCATTTGAGAAAAGCTCGCCCGAGATGAAAGGAGCGGGGGGGGGGGCAGTAAGAAGTAGAGTAAAAGTAAAAGAACGAGATGGATGGGGGGGGGGGGTTACTAAAACAGAGGTAAACAAATAATGCAACGGAGATTTTTTCATTCGCAGAAGAATGCAATCAGAGCTTGAAATAAATAGCAATTTATACGGGCACACATCTCATGCTGAAACTTGTAATCACTGCGTATTTGCATGATATGCAAATAATGGCTTCAGAACTACAAACTGTGTGCAAAACGCTGATTGCTGATTGAGGATCCACCTCACTCTTTGCCAAAGGAGTCCACACAACCTCCCGCGTTAGGGAGTATTGTTCTTCTGTCAGGGTTCATTACACCAGCGCTTAAACTATTTACTAAATCTTTATTTGATTCTAAACTCAACTTTTTCTTTACCAGGTAAGGCCAATTGAGATATATAGCTCTTTTTCAGAAGCGACCTGGCCACAAATGATAGCTCAACGAAGTGGCTCATCGTCTGGAAATATATGATTCTAAATGTGGAGGGAAAAACCGGAGGAGCTGGAGCTAAATCCACGCGACCATGGGGAGAGCGATGCGCAAATCCCAACATATACAGGCGTCGGGGGTCGGGATCGAACCGCCGACGCCTCTGATTGAAGAGCCTTAATTGGCGAAAGCGGTCAGGCCGCGCCAACACGGGAGCGGCCTGGATCTGCTGTGACGGTATCTCGCGGATGCTGGAGCCTCCGGCTCAGCCTGCGGGGGGCGCGCGGAATGTGAGCCAGGCCGCTTTGTTACCCAACGCACCCGGGAAGACTCGCAGACTTTACAGGACGGCTACGTAAAAAAAGA